TTTCTTTTACTTGTTTATCCTAGTCTTAGAACTTAATTTTGTAAAAGCTAAATTTCAGTTTCATCATTAAAATATTTAGTTCTTCAATACATTTTTTATTGAAGAAGGACTCACACAAACAAAGTCTGCGAGTAAATCTTTTAGTGTCTAAATTATTTTTAATTTCATGTTAACTGGACAATATGGTCAACCTTTACTTATAAGAAATTTTTTAGTCATAAAATAAATTTCAGTTAAATTCAAAGTTTTAAAGTTAAGAATTTTTCTTTTCACTGTTTTAATTCAGAGTATTGTCTTATTTGTTATTTTTTTTTTATGATTCTTCTACTGTAAGCACTTTAAGCTGGAATGACGATTATTTAGTTCTGCTTTCATCTCTTCTAAAACTTTTGTAACTAGGCTGTCTGATGAAGTAACTTGACTGCCTTCCTTCTTTCTAAGGTAGTTGCTTCTTTGAAGAGGGTTTCTGTGGTTGTTATATTTGTGGCTTGAATACCTTGTTTGTCTGTACGAAGAATCCTAATAAGAATTCTGGTTAGTGAAGTCATATTTTTTAGCATTTATTTTTTATCTAATTTATTTGTGGAGTAGTAGTCATTATGCAGTATTTTTATGAATAAGAGCCCTCACAAGGAGAACATCTAACCAACCCCTGCAGTTTGGCACAATATAACCAAGTATTTGACACTTAGTAGAGCTGGGTTGGAGAATCCACAAAAGGTCGTACAGGGAATATCCAATCACAACACTAGTAGGGTGGCTTGTACCTTCAAAGGTGACAAGTAAACTCTTAAGTATTAGTAGGTGCAGCACCTACTTTTTATACAAGTTGTCTTCTACCTATAGCTGCCAAGTTCTTCATTTGATACATCAAGGAATGTGCAGTTTCTACATCCATAGTTTCCAAAGTAATGTCACAACTCACCAGCTTGCAGGATTCATTGTTAAAACTAATGGGAATGGGTGACTGTCAAACCATCAATAGAAGTATTACAAAGCTGTTCTTCAGTAGTTGAACAATAATAATAAACAGTGGAAATTACTTTAGGCTGAAGATCACAAGTTTTGCATTATTACCCCTTCCTTTAAAGACACATTTTATTGGTCCAAAGGAGACCTTCAGTAGAAGAAGGATAACAATCACAGGTATCAATGGTGTTTCAATTAATTTGACTTAATTCTGTCATCTCGTAGCATTAAAGCTGAATTAATCTCACCAATGTAATCAACAAATAATTGTTAAACATAATACCAAAAAAGAAGTAAAACAGACCCTGAGGCTGCTCAGGGCTTGTATAAGGATCCCAGACTTGACAGACCTGTAAATAAAATATATGTCTAATTTCCATATGTAGATATCCTACTCCATACAGAAACCAACTTATTTCTAAGTATGGTTTGAATGTTGTACAAATATATTATTATTGGTTTAATTGGCACACCAAACTAAACATTTGCTGGTAGTCAATGTAATTAACATTACTATCAATGTAACTGCTGTGAAACTTATTACATGTCTACAACTGTTTAATGCAAACTATTTCACTACGTAGCTTAGAATAACTACTTACACATTTGTAAGCATGATTAGTTTGAGCAAATTCACTTTAAGTGCTTTAAGAACTAAACTACAGAAATTACCATGAAGCCCTGTGAAATTTGATTTACAATAGATATCAATTTCAAAACTAATTTGTCGATTATATACAGAATTATCTAAAAATGGCAAACTAGATTGCCTGACTACAAAATTAAAAACACTGTTCTAATAATGTGTGCTTTAATCATAGCCTAAATCTGTCATAACACAGATTTCACTAGAAGTGTTTTGTAAAACAAATAATAAGAGTGACTTACAACACCAAGATAGCAGCCAAATAGGAGAAGATTATCAGCCAATGTTCGTAAAGAAACATGAGGTCCGATTAGATATGCAAAAAGACATTCTTACATAGTATTATCTACAATTAATCTATTAATGAATTAAAGAAGTGCTCAAATGGTCAAACATGGATCGAGAAGCTGTATTGAAAGAAAAGTTGAAGCATTTGGTTTCTAATAAACTGTTGCTTAACTTCCAACAGTGTTGTAATCAGGACAAAACCAAAACTCAACCTCTGCCCTTACAAAAGAAAGAAAATAATAAAAAATCTTAAATAGAACTACAAGCCTTACCTTAATATTTCTGATGTAGTTCATACTCCCTTTCTCTTGAAGAGGTATCCAAATATAACAGAGGAAAACCGACAAGTCCAGCTACTTGAAGTTGGTTTTTCCATCCCGGTTCGCTGTTCTGCTTCATCGTGATTTAGGTCCTTGTTTGGACCGGGAGGGTCAGGTGCGATCTGAACCTATTCCTCCCGGTATACTGAATAAAATTATAATTTTAGCTACTTCATAAGAAAGTAGCTAGCCACATCTAGTGACAAAAATATGTATTTTCCTTATCGAATTTTTTTTATATATTTTCATATGTATTGTAAAACAATGTAAAAAATGTTCTTAATTGTCAGCATTTGAAGCCATTATTTTCTAGGTTATTTATGGATAATATAACATTATCCATACAAGAATTATCATTGCTAAAAACAGTTTTAAATCTTTTATCGCCTATTAACAATTAATGTAAATAATAATATTGAAGCTATCTACTTTATTATGTATGTACACCGAGTGGTCACAAGTAAATAGACACCTAATTTTTTGTCATTTAACTGATTTATGCTAACTAATTTGTGTTCACAGAGCACTATATAAATGGAAATGGTCCGCACACTAATTATCTAA